AGTTTGCTCTTGGGGTGAAAGTAGGGCGAACCAAGAAATCGTTTTTTGACTAATATTGGTCTTAAACGAATCGTTGCATCGTTTTGAAGCTGTTTGGGGTCTATGCTTGTATAATTGTGATAGTATGCACACATGACACCTTCTTCAAAGGTCGTTGCATATACTTTAGTATGGCACATTGGTTTCACATCCTGGGGAAGAATTGGCAGGGCACGGATGAGGAACTACGTGCTCAAGGAGTCCATGTTCCTCCTCGAGAACTTCATCCGGAACAAACGGGTGATAAGGAGAATTGTGTTTCCTTTGTATATCATAACAACCTGTCCATCACGTGGAGGAAGCTGCACGACCTGTTGCAACACCCACCCGGGCCACCCGTTCAGAAGCTGCACCCACTCCAGCCCGTGACTCAATCCGGAGACTTGCAAAACTCCATAGTCCTTTACAAGTTCAACCCAAACAAACAGACCATCTGCAAGATATACGTTTACATGATAAGGCCGAACGGGAAGCTGCTGTCCCACCTTCCAAGCTGAAGAAGAAGACCCGACAGGAGCCTGGCAATCGCTGCTTTGCTGTTTGCGCTAGTGATGCATGTGGCAACCCTCACAACTTTCCCATGATATTTTTTTGGCATGGGTTTTGTCAGGCCCTGTTGGTGGAGGCCGCCAAGGCCAGGCTCAGGCGGATGTGCGCCAAGCACAAGACCAAAAGGTCCCTGGACGTCCCAGAGTTTGTTGTGGAGCAGTGGCGTTCCAATGATCAGACGTCGATGGCAAGACTATTAATGGAGAACAACTGGAGTAAGGAAAAAACATGTTTCCGTGTTCATGCCATCAAAGCAACTGTCCTATGTGTACTATACCTCTTCACCCCAGTACGCAGGAATCGTTTATTGCGCAGCTCGAGATCATAGTGCGGAAGAAGGCCACCATCAAAGTTTCCATCGAGGAGATGTGGGTGTCAGAGCAGGAGATGCGTGATGACCTACATTGGAAACCGTAGCTGGGATTCTAGAATGGTGAACAGTATATATGGCGCACTTTTTTGAAAGCGTGACAAACTTGCCTTGTGATGTTCCACCTATAGGCCGCGCATTGCGGGTGCCAAGAAGGCTTGTGAAGCAAAGCGGGCCACTCACATCAGGCCATGGTAATTTTTTACTACAGTCTGCAAAACATGCATTTCCT